CCCTAACCCTAACCCTAACCCTAACCCTAACCCTAACCCTAACCCTAACCCTAACCCTAACCCTAACCCTAACCCTAACCCTAACCCTAACCCTAACCCTAACCCTAACCCTAACCCTAACCCTAACCCTAACCCTAAACCCTAAATATCTTATCATACACAAACAAACCACCATGTATCCATATACACCCATTACGCTTACAACGCAACATACTTCCCACTTTGAAGCATCCGTACAGTCTGCACATCAACAAGTTCCGCCGCGACATTCCCCTTCATCGTAACCGACCCCTCATCAGCAAAGGGATCTCTATCCTCCTCACTGCTCGCCCGCGATCCAACGAGCTTCACGCCAAGCCCCGTGACACTTTCCTCGGCCTGCATCTTCCACCGTGCCTCGACAGGCTTACTTGCCGTCGCGACACCCTGGGTGACGAACCTAACCAGGATCTTCTCCTCCTGACCATGCTCCAGCGTGACATCACCGACCTTCATGGCAGCCAACTGACGCTCCGTACTGAACGCAGCAATGGGCGGCTTACAATCACACGAACTCGCCTGGACACCCTCAACACCCGCAAAGAACACCAAGTCCTGGACTTTGACAGCGTTGCCCATACGCTTGAACATAGGGTTCACTTGGTACGTGACAATCAATAAACTCTGTCCCTCCTTGTGTTTCCACATCGGAGTAACAATAATAGGCAAGAACGTAGACATATTAGCCTCATCAACATGAGCCTGATACTTCAACGCAATCGTTGCCCGAGATTGAATTGGTGTGAGGGCGACGTGGTACTCTCCAGGCTTGTCGGCTATATCCTTCATGAACGCCGGGTTTGGTGCAACCTTCTCCAATGTCTGGAACTGATCAAGGTTGATGGTGACACGCTGTTCTTGGCCGCTATACGCCAGCGCGATCTCACCCAAAACGTTTACATTCGTGGGTTGACCTTGCTGCATCCTCGCACTGACTGTCTCGATGATGGAGGCATTGAGTCCAGGACCAGTCAATTCAGGATGCCTAGTCGCAGCCGTGCCAGGCGCCGAGCTGCCCGCAGATCTACTGGACCGAATGGATTGCTGATCATCGGAAATCAAACGGCCATGGATACCGGGGCTAGGCAAGGCACCACCCGTCACAGAACCACCCGTCAAATCAGGACTGAGCGAAGGTCCAGGAACGAACATTGTATTCCGGACCTCCCTCCTGCCGCGACCACCGCGTCTCGAAACAGTGGGCTGAGCTCGGAGTGCAGAGGTAACCCTCGACAATGCCGCAGTATCTTCACCTGTGTTTTCCGAGCGAATCGCATTCTGGGAGATTTGGACTTGGATAGCGGGTTGAAGCTCGGCGATAGAGTCTGTTTCCTCTTCGGCAATGGTGTCGGAGATGAGAGTAGGCGCTGGAGGCGCAATGGAGTATCCCTCTGCATCAACACGAGGCTGCAGAGGCTCCTCGAGTGCCCTTGGGGCGTCCTGAGGAAAGCTAGGAGGTGCCTGATAAGTCTGAACCGGAGCGGGCACAGAAACAGGTACGAGCGGAGGTGCAGGCGCATTCTCGGTGAATTGCGGCGATGTACTCTCACCCTCACGCTCCTCCTCAATTGTGGGCGTCCCAGTTGTTGGCGGCCTAGCATATCCCTGCGAAGATCCCGTACTAGGTCTCTGCTCTGTAGGGAAGTACGATTCCCGCCTCGGTGTAGTAGGCGTTGCAGGCTTCTTCGGCGACGTAGATCCACTGAAATTCAGACTCTTCTTTCCTCTCAACATCGTGCCGAACCTGCTCTTGAGACCACCTTTCGACGATGAGCCCGTAGAATGCATACTGCTTCCATCATCGAAGCTTTGGCCTCGGGTAACGCCTTGTCTGGGCATCGCGCCTGAAGCACCGGAGCCGAAGCCTTGCTTAGCTGCAAAGGCCGTGATCTCATCCTCCGCATCAATGCTGAGTACAACATTCGTCACGCTCTCTGTTAACCGCATCGTCTCCTGCGCGACCTCCGCCTCAAGCGTCTGATACTGCACCAACAAATTCTGAATATTCGCCAACCGAGCTCCATCCACGGCCTGGAACTTCTCCAGTGCCATAGGCGCCGTAGATTCCCACGTCTGACGTGCCTGAACCATCTGTGATTGCGCATCCGCTGCTTTTCCGTTACTCTTCTTCTTCTTAGAGGCCTTTGCGAGACTGGATTCAGCTGCTTCGATATCGCGGAGACATGCGGTGAGCGTTAGCTCAATCCGCTTGATCTCGGACCACTGCGGATCGCGGTCGGAGTAGTTTTTCAATGGGTGTCCGATTGTCTCGTCTAACTTCCGTGCGAGTCTATGGTGAGCATTCGCGTTTCCCTCCGCTGCGCCGGCGACTTGTACCCATGCTGAACCGAAGACCCTGTATGCGAGTTAGCACCCGTAGCCGAATCCACGAGGACATAGCTCGTCATACCCTAGCGCATCGATATTGGGTAACGGCTTGGCTGCGAGCTTCGACAAGCTCTTCGCATACGTCTCCTCGATCATCGCACGTTCTCGAAACCATTCGGCAACTGTATGACGAATGAGTCCAACCTTTCAGTTATTCAATACCCTCGCCATACCTTCATCATTGACAGCACTCGCCTTCCGTAACCTATCCCTCAACAATGCCGTCGCAGAGGTTGGTGGTACATTCGTCTGTGCAAGATCGTCAGTCCAACAATCGTGAAGCCTGGCGGACGCTGCGCACCAGGAAAGCATCCGCGTACAACGCGTTTCCTCCGGACATGATCAGGGGTATTCGTATTTGAGTTTAATTGCAATTGGATCTTTGGTGTTTTGGTGTTTGGCTCGAGCCGCGTTGAATCGACGTCACATGTAGCTCGACGGCGGCCGCCGATTGAGATGCACGGATGCCGAACGGCCCGAGTTGTCACTTGCAATTGGAAAGGAGTACATATGAATATAATCGTGTTTCGAGAGGTAATACGTATCCATCTGTCACGGCTCCAAGTCCGTCCATACCAAACAAGTGAAAGAATCGATCAAAACGCCCAACATACCCAATGCAGACCCTTCGTCTGTTACCCAAAGCAAAAAAGGACGGCTATCAAAGCCAGTTCATTCCAAAGACTCAAGCATCCATCCCCATCATCCCATCATCTTCTGCCCCTCGGCTCCACCTCCCGTAGGTCGCTCACATCTTCTTAATCACCAAAACCCCCACATCCCCTCTAACCATCCCCTCAATTCCCCTACCCTCCACATCATCCCAAACCCTCCTCACAACCTCCTCCGCACTAACCCTCAACCCACTCTGCATCGAGTATCCCCCATGCTCCGCCGCATTCTCCTTAAACCACTCCGCCGCTACCCCACGCATCCGATCCTCCTCCTCACGACGCCACCAGGAAGTGATACGACGCGAGTATTCCTCTTTCGTAATCTCGCTGTGCTCGAACATTGTCGTTGCGGGGTGTGCGGTCTGTACTGTGTAGGCTTGTAGGATTTCTGCGGTGCCTTCGAGCCGGAGTTTTAAGTTATCGACAAGGCGGTCGAATTCGGCGGGTTGAGGGGGGGATTGAGCGAGTTGAGCGGCGAGTGGGGTTGGGATGACGCCTTGACTTATCAAACCCCGAAGAGCGGGCGCAAGCGTCTCATCCAACGGCTTAAACCAATCCGGAAGCCAATCCTCACCGACCTTTCCTCTCGTTGTGGGGAAAACGTAGATGAAAACTCCACCATGCATCAATTCCTGCATCCTCCACTTTAAGAACTCGTGGGTCTGCGTGATAACCGCATACCCATTCGCCCCTCGTCGAACACCCGCACCCTCGTAAGCAGCAAACGGAGACTGCCCCGGCCGGGGTTTAGGTGCGAATTGAGCCGGCTCGAAGGACATCCCGATATGTATCGAATCCGGTTGCACAACCAATGCGTTCACACTCGGATTCGTCGCAAAACACGGGAAAATCCTCTCCGTCGAAAAGTACCCATCCACTTCGTTCTCCGCCGCACCCACACCTCCCAAAGTCCTCGTCGAATTCGTTCTGTGCCCAGTGGGTGGACTTGTCAGCGCTTTCGAGAACTCCATCAGATGGGAGAGTGGTAAATGATGTGTGAGGTGCACAAACGGATCCGTCCCATTCGCAACGAAATACTTCCTCCGCATCGCCGCCAAGACAGGTTTAGACAATCTATCATGCGCTGTCCTCCCCGTGTTATACTGACACACCCTCACTGCCTCACCACCCCTCACAGGCGCATCCCACGCATCGACGGCGGTTATTAGGGCGTCCCACCTCTCCATTTCCCATTCCCAGATATCGTCGTATGTCCCATCCTCCCGCCTACTCTTCGCGAACCATCCCCCGCTCTCGCTCGGCGGAGTAGGTAATACGCCTTTTCGGCTATGCGCGTGCGTGAACCCTGCCTGGGCACTCAAACCAAGCTCCGGAAGTCGTAGGCCGCTCTTGCTTTTGGTTAGCTGGTGCTGGTGGTGGTGAGGTATTGTGGGTGATGGATTGGCGGAGGAAGAGTTGGATGAGGTTAGGGGTGGGGAGGGTAGCATTGCCGGTCCGAAGTGAAGATGTTCCGGGTTTGGACGCCCGGGTAGGTTAAAACCCGGATAAGCCAACGTAAGTGATGAACGTAGGTTGTTGATCGTTGGGTTGTTGTTGAAAGGTGAGAGGTGTCCGGTGGTTATGAGCTGTCGTTGTGCGGATCGCGTGAGATCCGCTGAGGGTATGCGTAGGTACCGCCTGAGCTCGCTTGTTGGGTGGTGTGAATCAGATGACTTGACACCCGTAGGGTAACTATCGCAAGTTCTTGACTCTCGACTTCGGGAGCGAACGGGAGTCGATTTGTAGTCCGATGGAGATGTTGGTTGTCTGTGGTTGATCCTAAGGTGATCCCGTGGGTGCTCTCGTGATCGTGCAGTCGCACAGTTTTGCCGTGCACCTCAAATAGAAAGTTCCACTGTCTCGTCTTCTCGTTCAGCAGAGCAATCGCGTCTTCTCGTTCAGAAGAGTAAACTCTCGTAAACAGTCAAGTTGGTAACAGCAGGGTCTATAAGGTCGGAGCGGAGTCCTATAAATGTCCAGTCCGTCTTGTCCGCTTAAGTTGCGCTCGGTCGGGCGACCGAACTGAGACCCCGGCTGTCCTCACTAACCAAATCGGGCCACATGTGCAATTGCAACATTCCAGATCAAATTTGAAGTGAAGTTGGCCCATGGATGGATCGTCTGAAATGCTCCATATAGCGGGTAAACTGGTTCATGATCGTGAAGGGAGAGTGAGAGTGAGAGTGAGAATGACCTCCACAGAGAGGGAGATCTCGAGGGAAGGCCAAGAACGATGCCAAGTGGACACAGCCTCGATGTGTCTCCTTCTCTTGGTTAATTAACTTTAATTTGCACCCAGAACGTGCCGATTTTGCCGTCCGCAAACTTCCCCTGCGCGCGGTCCGCTTAACTCAACACTTTCCAATCGATTGAAACATCTGGATCGTTTCCCAAGCTTGAGGCCTGGCCAAGATCCGACGAAATTGGCACTGTAGGTTAGGTCCAGGCCTCAGCAAATCAAATCTTAGGAAGCAATCTCGACCTGTTAGAGCAAGCTTGCATGTCGCGGGACGGTACTTGTCGATGCATGACGCCGGTTAGCGGATAAACACCTCCTAAGGATCCTGCTGCCCATCTTCGTGGAGGTTAAGGAAACGCACAGACCACCTTCGCTAAATCGCATGAAAAAACCATCGAGGCCGTGCGACACCCCTCGCAGATTAGTCGAGCATGATCTGACCTCCCACGCACACTGCTGATAACATATACCGGTACGTGATAACGAAGCCGCGACGGCGTCAGCTGGGTGAAGGACACCCTCGTTCTAACCATTGAGCCTCGACTAACATCCCCTGCTATACTTGCTCACGAAGTCCAAGCGGCAACGTATATCTGTTGACATTAATGGAGTTTCGAGGTGGGGTAGGGATTGGGATCGACAAACTGAGTCCAGTTTCAGATCGTCCGTACGCGGCTGGACCCGTGCCCTGAAAGTCAATATCATAAGCCTGTGTGTGGGCTGTGGTTATGTAATGAATACACTCCGCAATCGCGATGGTATGCGCATCGGCTATCCCGATTGTGTTTGATGCTCTTGTGAGCTTGGGATTAACCATGGGACGAGTTTGTGAGCCCCGAGAATTGTTCTGTATCGAGAGGAGGAGGTCAATTTCGTGAGAACTCTTCAACTAGGTAGTGAGTCACTTGAACACCCACAGATAACGCAACGCTCAATTGATCCCCCCTCGGCCTTTCTACCTGTACATACTTAGTCTACCTCTCGCGTGTCCTCCCTTCCATCCCCATGGCAATTACGATACTCACGCTCATCCTCCCACACTTACCCACGTGTAACCAACCGCCCACGGCCAGCGCCGCACCCGCGCAGCGGCTGTTTCCGCGGCTGTTGGCTGCGCAAAGGGGGTTAAACACCCGCAGAAAGCGTCTGGAGCGAGGAGAACCATTCTCCGCGGGAATTGGTGGAAGGTGTAAGCGTAGAGCTTATCTTGTTAAGCGAGGTGTAGGGATATGTGGGGAGTGTGATTGGTCGATGGGTAATGGCGGTGATGGGTTCGTTAATCTTGGGTGAAATGGCATATGGAATGAGGAAATTGAAGTTGAGCTTCAGGTTGAGTATATGGCTCAGGAAGTCACATGCGAGAGAGTGTATAGAGTGACTGTGGCTCGTTGGTTGTGAGAGCCGCGGGTAAATAGTAGTGACGCGTACCCACATCTCCTCTTCTCTCACGTAAGACCTCAACACCATACCGTATCTGCCCATGCTCACCTTCCATTGTTCTCTTCTAAGCAATCGTGAAATTCAGTACACTCAGAAACTCTCACACCGTAAATCCCGCGTGGAGGCTGTGTAGCATCGCATGGCCAAACATTTCCATGCCAGCGCCTTGTCGCCCTCTCGCTCTGCCGTCCTTGAAGTTCATTTCGTTTCGTGTTACGTTATGGGAGACGGGTAGGTGCATGATACCTCACACCCTGCCTCAAGCTTGTGTCTCGACGGGAGGGCCCTTGACGAGTGTTTTCACGAGGTTACATGAGCTGTGGAAGGAGGAGGAGAAATGATTCAGCCGGTTCGTGGTGTGTCTCATTACCTAATCAAACATACAAAGCAAGACGAAAACTCTCCGAGTTAACTAACAAAAGGCAAGTCTTCCTGACTTAAACTTCTACTTTGCGGGTAAGTTAGGAAGATGTAACCCCGTCTCCGCACCTTGAATTTCCCCGCAGATCACTTCGACGAGCAACGAAAAGTGTGGTCATTTCCGGGCATCGAGGGTCTGGGGAGTGAGGTCACGAGGATGAAGCGTATTTTGGCTTAAGGTTGAAGGGAAGTTTTGTCGAAGACACTTTCGAAAAGATGGGGACGGAATCCGGGCGTCAGGAGGTGCTCGAGCGGGTGTTTTGGCCTTGAGGGGACAGTGGCCGAGGAAGACTGGGACTGGTCGAGCGGAGAGGTCACGCTGGCATAAAAAGACCCACAGCTCCCAAGGCCTGGGCAGTTCTGCGACGAGGCGACCGTATCTGGTCGGGTAAGGTCGAGGAGATACGTTATGTCACATGCAGCTCGGACGCAACAACCACTTGAGAAGATACTAGTGAGGAGTGAAAATTATCGTCTCAATTAAATCTAGATCATATCTGTCAAGCTTTTCATTTTTGCGGCTCAGCTCCCACGGCGTCCTGTTCCAGCAGTCCCAAGCGATTGCGGGGTGGCTAAGTACAACCCCGCGCTTCATTACTGGGGTATGCACAATCTAGGCTATGCCCAATATGGTGCGCTCGCGCTTTTGATAGGGGACCCGGAGGGGGTGCCCGCCCGTGGATATGTGCCCCGATATAAACTGTAGCGATAGGTAGGAGTTATGGAGAGTAAGGCGCAGCTTATCTGCTTAGCGAAAGGGTGGTGATGACGTGTCCGCCAGCAATTGCAATTGAGTCAATTGGAAGGGGGGATCAGACGCGGGCCGTTCGTTGCGACCTCGAAGGTCACCAAACAATCGAGATGTCGCTTTCAGAGTTCAATCTCACGTAATTACCGCTCCTGTCGATCTCATCTCGCAGGGTTCGTGACGTGTTCACATGTCCTTGTTCCTCGGCTGCGCACCCACCCCGGTATCAGAAGGGCGTAGCGCAGCGATTGAGGCGGGGCACCTCGGACAGCTGATAGCCAACGTGACGAGCGCGGTACACCGTCAGTAACCCACACCTGCCCGACGATAACCAAACCCCACCTGGAGATGGATCGCGCTAGTTACCTCCCGAGCCCGAAGCATCTCTATAAAATGGGAGCGGATCACCGTGGTCTGATCTGTTTGCATCGATCAATTCCAGTTTGATCTCCCCCCTCAAAACAAGACATACGATATCAAGAATGGCCAAGTGGGAAGAACTCGTTAAGGCGAAGCGTGAGGCTCTCGCAAACCAGATCCCTTCCGAGTGGAAGTTGCAGAGCCCTCCCTCCGAGGATGAGAAGCGTGTGATTGACTTCCCCGAGAAGTCCGGTCTCTTCACCAAGGTTCGTCTCGATCCGATCCGTTGATCCGTTGCAATTGCTAACTCAATTGATTAGGAGGAGCTTGAGATCACCGGCCTCGACGCCGCTACCCTCGTCAAGAAGCTCCAGGCCCGCGAGCTCAAGGCCTACGACGTCGCCAAGGCTTTCTGCCACCGCGCCGCCGTTGCCCAGCAGCTCGTTAACTGCTGTGCCGAGATCTTCTTCGAGAAGGCCCTCGCCCAGGCCAAGGAGCTCGACGACTACTACGAGAAGAACGGTAAGCCCATCGGCCCCCTCCATGGTCTTCCAGTCTCCTTGAAGGACCAGTTCCGTGTCAAGGGTGAGCAGTGCGCTATGGGATACGTCGGATGGATCGGCAAGAAGGACGAGAAAGATTCTGTTTTGACCGAGTGCTTGAGGTCCGCCGGTGCTGTCTTCTACGTCAAGACTACCGTTCCTCAGTCTCTCATGGTTGGTGAGACTTTGAACAACATCACCGGCCGTACCGTCAACCCTTACAACCGCGGTCTTTCCTGCGGTGGTTCCTCCGGTGGTGAGGGTGCCCTCGTCGGTTTCCACGGTTCTCCCATTGGTGTCGGAACTGACATTGGTGGTTCTATCCGTATGCCTGCTGCTTTCAACGGTCTTTTCGGTATCCGTCCCTCGCACGGACGTATGCCTTACGCTGGTGCCGCCAACTCCATGGAGGGTCAGGAGACCGTCCACTCCGTCTGTGGACCTATGGCTCATACCGCTGAGTCCTTGACTGAGTTCCTCAAGGGTGTCTTGTCCCAGCACCCCTGGGACTTTGACCCCAAGGTCATCGAGCTCCCCTGGCGCCAGGAGATCTACGAGGAGGCTCGTGTCGCTAAGAAGCTCCGTATCGGTATCTTGACTACCGACGGTGTCGTCGACCCCCAGCCTCCCATCAAGCGCGGTCTCGAGCAGACCCGCAAGGCTCTCGAGGCTGCCGGCCACGAGGTCGTCGAGTTCGCTCCTATGGACCACGCCCGTGGTGTCGACATCATCAACCGCATCTACGTCGTTGACGCCGGTAAGGACATCCAGAACGCCCTCGAGGCTTCCGGTGAGCCCATGATCGACAACCTTAAGGTCCTTGTCGACTTGGACAACATGTCTACCCCTCTCACCATCAACCAGGGCTGGGACCTCAACCTCGAGAAGTACAAGTACCAGTCTGAGTACCTCGAGTACCTCAAGAAGAACCCCGTCGATGCATTCATCATGCCCGTCGCTCCTCACGCCGCTGTCAGGCACGACCACTACTTCTACTACGGTTACACCTCCATCATCAATTTGCTCGACTACACCTCCGTTGTCTTCCCCGTCGGTTTCCAGGACCCTTCCATCGACAAGAAGGACGAGTCCTACAAGCCCAGGTCTGACTTGGACAAGCAGGTTTACGAGGACTATGTTCCTGAGCTCTACGATGGCGCTCCTATCTCCCTCCAGATTGTTGGCAGGAGGTTAACTGAGGAGAAGGTTCTTGGTTTTGCTGAGGTTGTTGCTAAGGCCTTGAAGGCTCAGGCTTAAATTGAATGATTATGGTCCGGAGTTTGTACGTTATTATTTAGTGATACCAATCTATATCTTCACGAGAACCTTTATCCCACCTCTATATTCTGCTGTGTTATAGCTGATTATGAAGACTCATTGCCTGGTTGTAAACCTCCATGAGCATTTTGACAGACCATGCAGCGGATGATAAGATCACAGCACAAACGACAACATCAGTCGCACGCCTGCATCGCAGACCTATCTGGACCATAGAATCACCTTGATCCAATCTCTTCCTCAACTCTTGTCTCTTTCGCAGGCACGACTCCACAAGCACTGGTGGGCATGCGCAAGTTGCCAGCTCCATATGCATAAAAAAAGAAAACACCCTATCAGGCCGAGAGGAATGATGACCCATTCGTCTGTAAGAAGGGAGCTGAGATACTCGTAATCAATCCATCTATTTTGACGGCAGCCAGCAACTCTAAATCAAGTATGGTTATGGGTCCGAAGAAAATCAAATGCGGGACGTTCTGGTCGAGGAAGTCATCCAGGAGAGCAACGATGGCCCGTAAACTTATGCGCTTGAACGGATAGAGCTCGGTCGAACCTCGGCTTTTTCGAGGAGGAACGTTGTCGACCCATCGGAAAACAACGGCGGCAAGACGGTACACCAGCAGACAAAAAAACTCGCCGACTCAAGATAAGGGATGTTGGAAGTGTCCACGTTGAAGAAGTAGCCCCCCAAAAAGCGCACGCCTTCAGTCACATGTAAGGTGGTCATCATCCCGAGGATGAGAGCTAGACCCGACCAGAATGTGGAGATCGTCTTGGCTTTGGCTTCTGACTCCGCGAGCCAGGATTGCAAAAGGTAATCGTTCGGATCGTATTCCCGATCTTCCGGTTCGTCAAATCCAGAGTCCTGCCAGAGCACCGTCAGATAGCTATTCGAGCAGTAGCAGGCGGAGATGTAGACCTACTCGACGTCGACTATCGAGCCCTGTACTTCTTGTCGTATACTCTCCCCCGTAGGCCGGTGGATAAAATTGCGGATAACCCATGATCATGCTCACCCGAAAGCTATCGTCGAAGACGTTCTTTGACATACCCTCTGCCATATTTCCTGACATGACGCCTGGTGCACTTGAGCTCAAGTACGAAGGAGATGCCCATGCTTGGCTTTTATGTCATGGACTTGGCAGCAGCTGCTGTGCGAAAACGCGCTCGAGACCCGTTTGGGGAAGTTACGTATGGCGCTAGCCGATATCGATAAGAATACACGGCATGAAGAGGCAAGGCAGGACCAACTGCATATCAGACGATATGAAGAGAGCTATGTTCCCAGACATCTTTTGAAAGTGAAGAGGTACCGTACAGCTGGCCATGGGGAGGACTGCAGCAGTGCAACATCCCATCGAACCATGCATTGCCGGCGCCGCGAGGATTGAAAATGATTTATGAAAGACGAAGAAAGCAACTGGTATATTTCCTCCAACATACATAGGTCTGTCTTGAAACGATACCTCTAGTTCTTAACCTCCTCAACGTTCCTCTTAACACTCTCATCCATCCCCTCCTTCTTCTTCTCCTCCTTCTCCTCCGGCCCATCAACCCATCTCAACTCCAACCCCTCCCCATCCTCGTCGCGCCAAACACACCTCCTCGCCTCGGCATTCCCATAACCCGCAAACCCTTTCACCAACATCGCCAAAAATCCACCATGCGTAACAACCGCAATGTTCCTCTCTGGCCGCGCCTTGAGTGATCGGAGGACGTGGGCAGCACGGGAGCGCACGGCAGATTCGTCGGATGACCAGGGTCCGGATTTGGAGTGGTAGTTGGCGGTGAGAGAGGAGAGTTGAGTGGAAAGAGCGGGGAAGTGGGAGGAAGTTTCGGAGGCGGTGGAAGGAGTGTCGCAGGGCATCTCGGAGACTTCTTGGAGTTCGGCCATGAGCTCGAATTTCACCTCCCCCTTCTTCTTAGGCGGCACTACATCTCCTTCGAAGTCGATGTCCGATCCCTCACGCAAAGGCTTCGTATCAAGCACGGATTCAAACGCCAACAAACTCGTCTGGATCGTCCGGATGAGTGGGGAAGAAACGATGAGGTCGACGGAGGATGGGATATCTGGGTATTCTGTGCTGAAATCGCGGGCTTGTTGCAATCCCAGGGAGGTTAGGGGTGGGTCGGGGATGTGGTAGCGGTCATTGACGTTGTGGAGGGCTTGAGCGTGGCGGATGAGGTAGATTGTTTGCGGTTCCTTTGCCATGGTGGTGGATTTGGTTGAGAAAGTGCGAATTGCGCTTGAAGGTAGACGGATTGAGTAGGCCACGGTGGGTTGCGATTGAGAATGATCTCGCGGGATCGATGTGTTGGTGGGGAGGATTCACGAGAAAATACCTTAACCTTAACTGCCTCGGGCTCGAGCTCGGTGACGTCACATCGCGATGGGTTCACGTGAGAAGCAAGTCCGAAAGTAACAGACCTGGGTGTTCAATTGACGTTCTCTTATTCATCCCTAGCTTCCTGCTCCTCGAATCGACGACCTTCTCTCTTCTCTCCGGATGCTTGTTTCCATGGCTCACATGTCCCGGATCCCTTCAGCTGTCAACGCTGGCGCCGGCGCCGGTTGCAGCGGTCCGCGCGCGATACATCTTGGAAGCACCAGCACACCCCCAAGGTGCAACGTTCTGGAGGAGGCGATACAAATGCGATAAGACGTACATCTGTCCATTCAGCTACCACTCTGCAACACCCTAAGCTCCCACGAAGAAGCGTTAGAAGATCGCTGTCGGGTAAACGGCCGCGCCAGCGCACCCCAGACACTCGACTTTCGCACCAAACCCCGCTCCGCCCCACCTAGCCCCAGCCTCGCCATGCCCGCTCTCTGATCCGCGATTCGCGATTCGCTCTCTCTCAAAACCCCGCACAGCAAACCCTGTGATATCCACACGTGATGTCTCCCCCTTGTCACCCAAGTACGCCATCCTTCTCGAGACGGATACCTGCACCCACTCGCCTATATATTCCCTCTTCCCGCCTCTGATTCGACTTCTACCACAATACAATTCGATTGATCAACATGCCTCAAGCAGCACCCACCCTCGCTCCGAACTCTGCGGTTCCTACTTACCTCGCCCCCAATGGTACGAAGATGTGGCTTCTCAACCTCGGCCACCTCGAGTGCGACAACGGCTGGCTTCTCCGCGGTGCCAACACCTCCACCCGCTCCAACAAGAACGGATCTGCCGGACGTACCGAGCTCGTCGTCATCGCTGCCTTGATTGAGCACCCTACCGAGGGTTTGATTTTGTGGGAGACTGGATGTGCCGAGGACGTCGAGGTCAAGTGGCCCGCGCCCGTCACCGACGTCTTCCCCTTGGTCGTCTACGGCGAGGAACACAAGTTGCCGGCCGCGATCAAGGCTACCGGGAATGATATCAAGGATGTCAAGCACGTCGTCATCGGACACCTCCACCTCGATCACGGAGGTGGATTGGAGCACTTCAAGGGCACGGACGTCAAGATCTGGGTCCATGACGATGAGTTGAAACACGCTTTCTGGGCCGTCGCGACGAAAGCCGATCACGGCGTTTACCTCGACCACTACCTCGACCTCAACCTCAACTGGCAGACCTTCCAAACCGCCGGCCCGAACGGTGCTATCGACCTCTTCCCCGGTATCACCATCCACCACTCTCCAGGCCACACCCCCGGTCTCTGTATCATGCAACTCAACTTGCCGAACTCGGGAACGTTTTTGTTGACGAGTGATCAGTTCCATATCAAGGAGAACTATGAGGATGGACATCCTCATGGTTGGTTGGCGAGGGATCACAATGCATGGTTTGGCAGTCTGCAAATGTGTAGGAGGTTGGAGAGGATGCACAACGCGAGAATGGTGTTTGGGCATGACAAGACGGTGTTTGATGCGTTGAAGGCTGAGGCGAAGTTCTTTGACTAAGTGTAGGATATGAGGCGGAGAGAGAGGAGTTTATACCTTTAGGTGTATTTGTACTGGATACCAAATGGATACCAATGTATGATATATCGTTGCCATCATCAAATTCTTGACCTTAGTCATGGACGGGTCGTTGTTCTTCAGGTTCGTTTCTGAAGCGCTAGGAGGCTGCCCCACATTTCTCACGACGAACGGTCACGCGCATCTCGGTTCACCTACCCTGAACCCCGCAAAAAGTGCCCATGCGTACGAGCAAAACGCCAGTCTGAAGCACCATTTCACTGCCATTCCGACTCTCAGGTCCTTGTTGTCAAACAGAAATGGCTCCAGAACCAGTGTATGTCGTCGGCGTGGGCCTCACCAAGTTCCTAAAACCTCGCGGGAAGGTGGACTACACAGAACTCGGCTTCGAAGCAGGCGTAAAAGCCATGCTCGATGCTGGTATCAACTATGATGAGGTGGATCAAGGCGTTGCGTGTTACGTCTATGGAGACTCTACCTCGGGACAGAGAGTCTTCTATCAGTTTGGTGCGCTCCCCCTTCCTCTCCTCCGTGAAATCAAGACTGACGGATCCAACAGGCATGACCTCTATCCCAATCTATAACGTCAACAACAACTGCTCAACCGGCTCAACCGGCCTCTACATGGGCCGAAACCTCATCGCAGGCGGCGCGGCAAACGTCGTCCTCGTCATCGGCTTCGAGAAGATGTTCCCAGGCTCCCTCCCCGCCAGCGCCTACCCCGACCGGTCCAACCCCCTCGACCGCACGAATGCGATGATGGCCGCGGCACAGGGGGTGGTGGAAGGTGCACCCAATGCGGCACAATTGTTCGGGAATGCGGGAAGGGAGTATATGGACAAGTTTGGAGCAACTGCGGAGGATTTCGTGGAGATTGCCAGGGTTAGTCATCTGCATTCGAGGAATAATCCGTATAGTCAGTTTCGCAACGTGTATACTAAAGAGCAGATCCTGGCTGCGCCGGTGATTCATGCGCCGTTGACAAAGTTGCAGTGTTCGCCGACAAGTGATGGGGCTGCGGCGGCTGTATTGGTTTCTCACAGTTGGCTGGAGAAGCATCCGGAGATGAAGGGGAAAGCGGTGTTGATTGCAGGACAGGCCATGGCGACTGATGCGCCGTCGATGTTTTCGAGGTCGGCGATGGATTTGGTGGGGTATGAGATGACGAAGATCGCGGCTCAACGGGCGATGGGGGAGGCGGAGATTAAGCCCGAGCAGGTCAAGGTCGTTGAGCTTCACGATTGTTTCAGTACAAATGAGATGGTTACCATCGATGCTCTGGGGCTTTGCGAGCATGGAAAGGCGCATGAGGTGGTGCGGAAGGGTGATATCACGTATGGTGGGAAAGTCGTGGTTAACCCTAGCGGAGGGCTTATTAGCAAGGGCCACCCGCTAGGTGCGACCGGACTGGCGCAGTGCTGTGAGTTGGTTTGGCAGCTGAGAGGGTGGGCGAGTAATCGGCTTGTGCCAAACCTCGACGTTGCTTTGCAGCATAATCTAGGGTTGGGCGGTGCGGTTGTCGTAACGGTGTACCGCAGGTATGACGGTAAGAAGAACCATGTCGTTGCAGTCGAGCAAGTTGTCAAGAGCAGCGGTGTAGCCTATAACCCTGCAATCGAAGCCCATGGAATTGTAGAGCAAGACGCGAACA